GGACGAAAATGCCTCGCCAAAATCAAATCCGAACAGAAAACACCGCCAAACACGACGGTTCTGAAAATTGAGAAAGGCGGAATGTGCCTTACTTTGCGTACAGCAATTTCCTGAACAATCTCGTCGGACGAAAACAGCTCCGCGTCGTCCGAAAATCAACTTGTCCAAAAATCTTTTCGACTTTCTCTCTCCTCAAAAGATATTTTCATTTTAATAAAATTTCTCTCTCTCTTCAAAATGACTGATTTCAGCTTTATAATACTCAGATCGGCCCGGCCGAACGCCAGATCGTCCCGGGACGATCAGACCAATTTTGATCGTCCTGGACGGTTCCCATAACTTTTTTCCGGCCGATATTTTGAACAGTGCACATCGGCCTGGCCGATGCCTAGATCGGCCTGGACGATGCCTACAGAAAAAACACCTGGATCAAATCTGGGCAAATTCTGGAGCAAATTCTCAACTGATCGTCCCAGGATGATCCCAGATCGTCCTGGACAATCCTGGAGCAGATTTTTTGATATTACAATAGCCACCTCCTGATCTTCCTCCATCACCACTACCTTAGTCTTATACTCCTTCATCCATGCTTGTACCATCAATTATTCAACCCTCTACCTCTCAACCTTCCAATGATTTTCCTCTTTGTTCACCAACTGATAATTCAATCACATGTTTTACCAGCTCTCCACCATCTTCCCATCACTCTCCTAGCTATTCCTACTTTAACTCCACCTTAACAAATATATTCCCAATCTTCAAATTCTATTTCATCTCCTATTTCTTTTATCGAGCAAGCCCTATATCAACATTAATCAATTCATCAAATGGTCACACAGCTTTGGAGAGGGACACTTAAAACTAAACACATTATCAATATGAATGCTTCTCTTATATCTTATGATCCAACTTCTTATACTGAGGATTCCAAACATTTGGTTTGGTGTCAAGCCATGTCAGATGAATTTACTGCTATTCAACAACAGGAAACATGGAAATTGGTACGCATTACCCTACTTAAAATATTTTGGGTTGCAAATGGATCTACAAAACTAAATTGAACCTAGATGGAACTATAATAAGGTATAAGGCTCAGCTAGTGGCTCAAGGTTGCAGTCAACAATATAATCTAGACTATCTTCATACACTTAGTCCTGTTGCCAAACTTCCTACTATTAAGTTTTTATTTGTCACTACTACTTCATTCAAGTGGAAAATACTTCAACTTGATGTGTTAAATGAGTTTCTACATTATTACCTCAAAGATACGGTTTACATGGCTCAACCTATAAGTTTTAAAGATTACTTACACCCCGATTATTTCTGTCTCTTACAAAAAAATCTATCTATGGTTTAAGACAATCTACGAGAAAATGATTTGAGACATTTTCCACATACTTACTCAATTATGGATTTATCCATAGTACAACAGACACATCTTTATTGATCTATCATAAATATTCTATATTTTTCTACATACTTATATATTTAGATGACATATTACTATAGGCAATGATGATAAAATAATCACTCATCTACTTGCATGTCTCTCACTTAGGTTTCACAAGAAAAACCTCAGTCACATCTCATATTTTATTGGTATGTAAGTAATACATTCAACAAATGGTTTGCATTTATCCTAATCAAAATATGCAGCTGATTTAATTCATCAAGAGGGTATGGTTGATTGATTGCAAGCCTATTTCTTCTGCTACCACTTCCAAAATCACAGCTACTCTAGTAATTCCTCTTACCCCCTACTTCAGCATATGATTTTTGAGATTTGGTTGGATCTCTACAATATTTAACAATTACTCGCTCTAATATTGCTTACATAGTTAATAAATTGTGCCAACATATGCATAACTCACATGAGAATGATTTAAAACTAATCAAATGTGTCCTTCGATATATCAAAGGTACTATATATTTTGGTTTGCTGATTGCTTCTAGTGATCTTTGTTTGCATGCTTATTCTGATTCTGATTAGGTTGGTGATCCTCATATTCATAAATCTACTACTACATAATGTTCCTTTCTCGGAAGAACACTCATTTCTTGGCAGGTCAAGAAATAGAAAATAGTAACTCACTCGTCCACCAAAGTAGAGTATCGTGCACTTGTAATTACTGCTACCGACATTATCTGGCTTCATCAGCTTCTACAAGAATTTCAAATTCCTCCTTCTACCCCTACAATTTTTCTTTGTAATAACATATCTTCCATTGCACTTGTAAATAATCTAATTTTTCACGCTCAGATTAAACACATAGAGATAGATTTTCGTTTCGTCAGAGAATGTATCAAGAACAACACGATCAAAATTTCACATTTTCATATCACTAATATGTTAGCTGATTTATTCACTAAGCTGTGTCTATACATCAGTTTCAAGCCTTGCTCAACAAGCTCACCATTTCAGAACCCAATGTTATCTTGCCGCGAGGTTATAAGCAAGCCGACTTATCAAGCTATGCTTATTCTCACATGTCCACTACCTTTATGTACCAACTCACATCTTTCTAATTCCTGATCGGTGCTTTATCATCACCCATTTGTAACCACATTAATCCAAACCATTAAAGTTATTTATTGCATTGTCTTTATATTACTATATGAATAGTAAGGCATGAGGAGTAGTAATGAAATGAGAATGACATTCTCTATTTGTTTTTTTCTTCTTATTCCTTTGCTTTGTATTTTGATGTTTGTATTAGATGTTCATAGTTCTAGGAATCAAGGCAGAGCAATGCAATTCAACAAACATCATTTTTCTTATGCATGAGAATATCGATAGAAATGGACATAGATGTTGAAACTTCAAAAGAACAAATATCTATGTTATTAATTTTTGAAGTGTTGGCCATATTGAAGTCAACTAGAAATGGTGAAATCATTGATCTCAAAGTCAACAAGAAATGAGGATATTCATTTTGCACTTTTTGAAAGCATATAAGCAATGCTAGTCAAAGAGAGAAGCATATGTATAGTCAACCTCTCTTCAAGAATGTGTATATATTACTCAAATATTGATCCTTTTGTGACGATTGTTTTTCAGGTTTTATCGCAATTTTAAATGACCCCAATTGATTCAAAATATTTCCAACCTCTTTTGTGCAATTAGTTTTGTTGCAACAATTGTTTATTTCCGATTTTTTTATTGTAAAAATTTTGTGACAAACAAGTTAATAATCAATTTTGTGACAAATGATATGGTTGCAAAATATTTTGTAAGTTTTATGATGGAGGAGGGAGGAGTTGCCATTAAATAGAATTCATATAGTGAATTAAACAGCTTTTATAGCCTCAATGATAGAATGTGAAAGAGAAAATGATGATTTCAAGATGTCAATAGGGGTGTCAATATTTGACACGACCCAAAAACTTGACTCGAAAAAACTAGTTTCGGGTCAACCCATCTAGGAAATGGGTTGGGTTTGGGTTCTATTTTTCTACCCGTTTAAAAAATTGGGTTAGGTTCGGATCAAACCAGTGACTCGGAAGTGACATGCCAGCAGCATGTCTTGCCAGCGTGTGACCCTGTAGCCTGCATTCATTAGCTTCCAGTAACTCTAAAATGATCCAAAAGTTTTGATTTACTTGTGCAAGCGTATGATCCCACGCACTTGTGCGGTTGTTTGTGCACTATGCTTTTGCTTCACCCATAGGCCCTACACATTACTGCGCCCCACAAGCCAACACAGTCGCAAACCGCTTCCACCTTCCGCTTTGCCTACACCGAATCGATTCCAACATGCCCACAAAGCCGCACTCCCTTGACGCTTCCACCTTCTACCTCTCTTGAGTGTGAAGCGCTCACTCCTCAATAATTCGGTGAATCGGGACGGGTCAACCCGATAACCCAGTAAGTCGGGTCCGGGTTGAAATTTTTGGGCAGTCTACAGAAATAGGTCGGGTTCGGTTCGGGTCATGCTAAACAGTAGCAGGTCAATATCGAGTTTGAATATATAAAGCACCCTTGAAACTTAGAGAAGAAATTAAAGAAAAGATAAAAACCTTCTTTATCTTAATTGCTATTTGAATTAAAATTTATATTATTTTTTAATATAAATCACTATAATTAAACACATTCAAATAAATAAAATAAAAATATCTTATGATAATTTTCATAAGAAATACTCTATGAAACTTCTATCAACATGCTAAGGTATTTAAGGCCACCATCCTCTAAAATTTCATTGGTCCAAACCAATCAACTACAAATCTACAACATCCTTTTGAATTTCTCGGTCCTCACCTCTAATTTTAAAACACACACTGTTTTTCTTAAACATGCACTTTCTCGCCAAGATATATTTTCATAGTCCAAGTCCTAAGAATGTTTAGTAAGGGTGCGTTTATCATTTTTCTCATCAGACCAAACCATCGGACGGTGGAGATCGCTCCGTGGTATACCCGCGGCCGTCGTAGGCCTTATTAACCGGTCTGGCATTTTTTTCCCATCAAGAGTGGAAGAGCGCATATCAGAGAAGACAAAAAATGGCTATGGCGAGTTTAGCCAGGCGAAGAGCGAGCAGCCTCCTTCTCCGGTCGGCGGAGCTTGGTCGATTTTCTGCGGCATGGAGAGGATTTGCGGCAGCGGCGGAGGAGAACGATGTGGTGGTGATCGGCGGCGGTCCAGGGGGGTACGTGGCTGCTATCAAGGCTGCGCAGCTAGGGCTTAAGACTACATGCATCGAAAAGAGGGGATCCCTTGGCGGTACCTGCCTTAATGTCGGCTGCATCCCTTCTAAGGTAAGTACCTTACTTTCCTCTTAGTAAACTTTTGAATGGTGAATAAGGATTTCTGGCTATTCGTTCTCTGCTTGGCAGTAGTAATTTGATGATTTGAATTGATTTTTTTTGTAAATTTTAGCAGACACTGCATCAGATCGTCATTTAAATTGATGACCAGATCCGCATAAAAACATCTTTATCTACTTATCCTATCAGAATTAGATTTGAGTTATGTAAATGATTGTTTTGCTTTGATGAGGTTTTGGTTGTTTAGCTTTTTCTAAAATTTAGTATTGGCTTATTAGGTTTGAAAGGCAATTTTGAAGCCCCTCTTAGAGTGATAGGTATCTTACTGAAGTAGGAGATAGATGACAAGGTATCTTACTGAAAAGGAGAAATGTTCTCTCTCTTATGGAAAATGAAATAGGATGGAGAGAGAGAGAATAATTCAATCATTTGAGCATGCATACATTCCATGAAAGGAAATCAAGGCACTTGTTTAGAATATGATATGGGATTTGAGGTACAATAGTGTGAGAAAGGGAGGTTTTTCCGTAGTTGTGCACTCTTTAATTTGGAGGTATTTTGAGATTTGCTATGCTATAAGGCTTTTTTTTTTTCTATGCTATAAGGCTTGTTTAGAGATGTCTGTTCAAATCAGGGCCATCAATAATCCTCATTAATTCGTGTGATCTTTTGCTAAGCATCATCTAGTAGAGGGCATGGCACTTATTCTTTTTAAACTACTTCTCTTCAAAGTTATAGGTTGTGTCTGACTACTTGGTTATCTGTAAAAGTGGGCTCTATATAAGGAATTAGTTCGATTAGATCTAAGGATTTTGAACCTTTACCTAACCCCAAATAAGCCTACTAATCAAGCTAAGGTTTTGAATTCAAGCTTGAGATTGATGGAGCTTGGTCACATGAAATTTCTCTTGCACAAACTTGAGTGAAAAGTATAATCCAGTGGGTTCATTCTATACTTTGGGCTGAGATGATTATAATAACTAAAAAAAAAGGTCAAGTGATGCCTATTAGGTTGAGAATTCCTCATGCTTATGCTAGGGCCTTAAATGAATACATCCACTCAATAAACATTTTGATACTCATTTAGTTAAACCTTGTTTTTTTTTGTTTAGATGATTGAATGAGTTTGAATTTTATTAAAGAAGCATGATACCTAATTAGATAACTTCAAAATTATCCTCCTTGTTTATTTGTGGTCTCGAACATGCTCTTTCATTGTTTAAGTGGTAGCTTGCTAAGAATTTGATAAAGTGTTTATTTGTTGTATGTTTATTAGCTTATTAGTTTTTCATTTTTATGCTCTTATGTTCAACTTATATTTATCCTATATATTTCTAATGGATTATATTTATAAAAAGATAAATATTATATACTCCATAATAAAGAAATCATTTATGATTTTGTTTTATTTTTGTTACTAAATTTTAGATATCAAAACATTGAATAAATACAAATTGATAAATGTGAAATAATTATGAATTATTTTTCACTTTATGTTAGATATAAAGGTTATCATTTTAAATAGTAGCACCACACATGTTTTATTAGGTTCGATTATGATTCAAGTTCGGGTCCTCTGTTGTGCAACTAGCATGATTTATGACACTTCAAAGACTCACTTTGACCATCATGATCGTGCGTTGCCTTCATCACTTAATATGATTTCTTGGATTTTGTTGTAGTTGCGATTGCTATAAGATTCGTTGCAACCTTTGGGTTGCAATTGTTATTTAATTTTATGATTTTCCTATTTTGGAAATGGCTGCCAACTTATTTTTTGACCTCTTTTTAATTTTAAATGAATAAATTTAAGGATTTGATGAGTTTAAATATGGGTCTTTATGCATGCAAAAATATAATACTTTAATTTAATAGAATTTTGGTTGGATTTAATTCTTTCTAGCCTTCTTCTAGTGTAAGTTGAGATTAATGATTTCTGGAGGAAGTCATCTACTTATATTGGTATAGGGCTTAATTTTTAACATTTTGTTATCTCCTACACTTTCTGTTTCTATTATCTCATTTCTAATTGTTCGTTTGCATTTATTTTTGGGTTTTGTCAAATTTGGCACAATTATTTTTTTGATTGTGGTGTATTTATAAATGGAATTTATGATTTTCTTATGTTTTTAAAATTCTATGCATTATTTTTAGTATGTGGTTATTAAATTATCATTTGTGATGGATTCTTCATATTTTCAATTTCATTTAAATGAATGAGTAGTTTTCTAAATAAAGTGTCTGTGAATTGCAAATTTCAATATGTGTGTATGATTTGGAGCATATTATAGTAATGTATTAGAAAACTCTCTATCCTAAGACATCTGCATCAAATTTAGTACCAGAAATTAATGTTGCATCAGAATGTCTAGATGTATGATGTAATAATCAGGCCAATTAACAAAATGACAAAAAGTCGCCTTTAAATGAAATAAGTTAAGATATGATTCTAGAAAAATTCAAAATATTATTAAGATATTCAAAATAATGTTCTTACATTTGATGACAGATAATTTTATAAAATTTCAAATTGGATCAATAATTTTAAAGATTTTATCAGAAGTTGTAATTATATTTGATTTGAATTTGCTTAAACAAAACTAGTGAGACATGATTAATTATTCTGATGAAACATTGTAATGAAACAAATTTTATAAGGGCTGATATTAAACATAAATTTAAACAGTAATTTGATGAACTGCATAATCAATTTTAGAACTGTAGGCAACCTATAGCGTGTTTATATATTTGTTGAGTTTAAAGATCTTATTGTCAAATGAACCTTTTTCCAGATAGAGATTCAATACAATAGCTAACAATACAAATGTGTGAGGCACTTGTAACATCCAAAATTGGGATGGTTACGCCCTCCTTTAGACATTCAGAGCATTAACTGTCATTTATAATAGCTCTTATCATAAACTATTGATTTAATTTGATGCAATGATTACAACTATCATGGGAATATGACTTGTTAATCATGCTATATTATCGAGTATATTTTATGCCTTATACTTAGATATTTGTGCTATAGACAGTTGCCTTACCGCTGAGTTTATTTCTTATAAATTCATATTGGCTAATGTTATGATTTTAAGGTTATCAGTTGTGCATCATGGAGATAAGAGTTTCTAGATTCATGCTTTAGGCATCATGGGAAGATGAATAATGATGTACTGTTATCTATTTGATTTATTATTACTTTATATTTATTCTCATATGAATTATTGTATAAGTTAGGTTTCAATTAACTTTTGATGGATAAATTATTTAAAGTGCTAGGCAAGTCAACCAAATTCAATTTAGTCCATTTTCAGTCAAATTATAATTGTCAACGAGACAGTTAGTGGATGAATGCTTTCCGTTAATTAAAAATAAAATTACCTTTTTTATTTCATTTAAGTTCTTAGGAAATAAATTAATGTGAATTAAACTAAAATTCCTTTTTACAGACATTTACTGGTTGCATAATATTAAAATTTTGTTTGGACTACTGCACCTGTGTTTAATATCTCTGCAGAACAATTATTAGCATCTCCTCTAAAACTTTTCAAACACAATAACACAAAGTCATTTAGATTGAATTTGATCTCATTAAAGTGGTTGTTTCTCATGAATGTCTTTAAAATGTCATATTGCATGCAAAAAATGATCTACAATTACAATATAATCTACATGTAATTGTTTTTCATCCAAATCTCCACTAAAGTTTAAAAGGATTTAATAAACTAAAACATATTATTTAAAATTTAATTAAAATAAAATTAAATATTTTATAGAACCGGTTGTTTCTACAAAACATGGATTAGTTTGACGATTTTTCGGTTGAACTAGCGGTTTAGCTGGTTTGATGCAAACATGATTTTCAAGTTTGACCGAACCAATAACTTGGCCAACCATGAACTGGCTGGTTCGATCCGATTTTCTAAACATTGATAATGCCTATAATTGATGAGTATTAACTACAATATCATTTGAGCCAATTTTTTGCAAGTCGAGCAAATTAATGTCGACCTCTTTAGAGCTCCTCTATTATCAGACTTCTCTACTATTTTATGGGACTTCAATGGCTCCTTGTGACCTATCACGTCTTTAGCGCTTCCTGTTATTATCTAATTTATTTAGGTTTGTGATTATCAAGAGATTTCATGCGATATTTGTGTTGCAATTATTAATGATTTCCTTTTTTGCTCATTTTCAAAATAGTTGCAAACTTATCTTCAAATTTTTTTTCTTGTAAATTTAGGGAGATTTTATAGGGCTTTGAAGCATATACAAAAAATATACTCTGATATTAGGTTGAGTCAATAAATTCATAGTTGAATGGTATTTCTTCCAACTTTCTCCTAATGCTAGTAAAGATCAAAGATTTATAGTAGATTATTTCTTTATGCTGGTGATATGATTGTATTTTACTATTTGATGATATCTTACCTTTTCTTTTTTTTTTTTGCTAATTTGTATTTATTAGTTTGGATGAGGGATTGAGTTTTAACAAATATAAGGAACTTATGCCTTCATCTTAGAAATCAAGGCACACTTATGTTTAATGGTAGCAACCGATGGTGGTGTTTTGGGCTTGTCTTGAGGTGGATGTGATGGTGGCTTTTGGCGATGTGTGCTGGGAGAGGTGTCGACTTTCTTGAATGGAGGAGCTTCAGGGTCTTGTGAGTTTGTTTGTTGGCGGGACTATGATAGATGACTTGCTTGAAGATGAGAAGAACTACGTCAAAATTGAGAGGGATAGATGCAAGACAAAATGTGCGGTTGACTACTCTTCTCTGTTCGAGTCTGAGATTTGAAAAGTGTGATGCCTAATCGATTTGATGCCTTCTTTATTTAAAGCCAATATGCTAAGAGGAGATGTGCAACCAATTTGATGCCTACTCTATTCGAAGTCGAGGCGCCGAACAAGAGAGAAGGAGATGGCCAGGGCATGGGTCCTTTGTTTATATTTATTATTTGAAATAAAATAAATTAATAAATGCAATTTTAAATATTAATTTAAAATTTTAAATCCTAAAAATAATATGTGAGATTTGCATTATGCACCATTATTAGTCTTGCATGCTGTACATTACATGTGCCATTTTTAACTTATATTGTGCCAAGCAAATGATGCAAGGGGTGCCACACTTAACTTAGTATTTTATCTATGCATCTTTAAAGCCAAGAAAATTGACATATTTATCATTCTCCCATATTCCATGGACTGTATGGAGAGATGCTAATGCCTTAATGGTTAGAAGCATGGTTCTATTTGATCTATTTTCTCTTTTCCACATACTTAAGATTTTCTCACCGTGCTCACCAATCC